TCTTGAAGCAAGCGGCTCGGTATGGCGCTGGATATAAACCAGCCTTCATGAAAAATTTCTGTATGCTTCGGATGAGAGACCCTTCTTACGATGACGATTTATGGTCTTTTGTGTATTGTCAACGGCGAATAATGCAGACGATGGAACGATGAGCAGTACGAGTTATACGGCGACATTGACATAGTTCAGCTAATCAAGAAACAGCGGCTACGTTGGATATGTTATGTGGTTTTCGATGAGGTACCCGCCGGTAGAAGCAGAGGAAGAAGAAGACCTCTACTCCGCTGGAAAGACCAAGTAGAGAGGGACCTGATTCTACTTGGTACCTTCGACTGCCGGTAAGCAGCAAGAAAAAAGCAATAAATGCCGCGAGGTTATGAACTCGGCTAACTACGAATAAGTACGAGCAAGAAAGCTGTAAGTTTGAATAAAAAATCAACTGCCCTCTTCCTGATTTCTTGCCACGAAGTCTTGCCCTGCTATTTGTACTTCTGTTAATCACTTCAATTAAGTTGGCTCGTGTATAATTGTCTGTTTGTGAGCGTGTGAGCGCGGTACATATGAAATACTGACAATCTTCATTTGCGTATCTTGATCGGTGTATCTATCCAATTAGTGGCCGCCAAATGTGCCACAAATTCGTTAACTGGCATCTTTATACTGATGGAAGTTGTTGTTTTTGTTTTTGTTGTTGTTGTGGTTGGCTTAGCATCATTTACTCGCATAATAAAATATAATAAATATGTAGATTCTCATTAAAGTTTGCGTCTGTTTGACGATGAGCGCACTCTCCATGCTATTAACGCTAAACGCGCTGGCACTCGCTTAGCACACATATAGCTTAATTAATATTAAATCCAGCACACACACACACACACGCGTACCCATATATGCAATAGTAGTCATAGTATTTGCACACATCGGCAACTAAAGTACTGGCGAAGCTTTGTCTTTCACTATGGCAAAGGATTAGATATGATTTTATGAGTTATTCTTACATATGTGTGTATGTGTGTGTGTGTGTGCATGTGAGTGTGCAGTAAGTAGTGCGTGTGGCTTCTGAGTAATATGGAACTCAAGGCTAAATAGCACAATAAACTTACTATGCAAATACATAGTTATGGAAATGGTTATGGGAATTGGAAAACAGGGTGACTCGGCAACGCAAAGGAGTTGGTGGCATTTAAGAGTGCACCTCAAACCACTTTTGTTGGACTATACAAATAAAATTAAACAAGAGCTCCTCATAAGCCCACCACAAGAGTCGAGTCATTTGAAAGGCCAAGACTCGTTAACTTGATTTTACTGTTTCCTCTTACCAGCAGGGAAATTCAATCCATCCGAGCAAATTTCTGAAAGTATTTTGATTCGGAAATGGCTTAGAATAAGTTAGACCCACTCCACAAATTGAGAAAGAGATTGTGAAAAGTCGCTTCAACGGCTATAATTTATATAAACACACAATATAAGGTTGACATTTCGAAGACGTGCCGACGTCTTTCCACGTCGATCTATACAGAAGCCGATTATAATATTTCCCTCTGATCTTTCCCTCTGAATTTGTTAGTACCTTGAAGAGTAACTATTATTTTCGATCACAAACACTCTCGAGGAGGTTGAAAATACCTCTGCTTATTTTGAGTTTCGGTCCATTCACCCCTTATTGAACCTTCTGAGCGCTGTGTCTTATCCCTCGGCTTTAGTGCCTGAAGAAATGGATTGTGCAGTTCTGCCCTCAAAAGGGTCGTATAAGTTGTTGGAACTTACTCAAAGAGAGTTCCCCCTCAGCAGCAATACGGCTGATATATACCTAGAACCACCTTCAGCCAGATGTCAGCCTCAAGTTAAGCTGGACGCCATCTGCGGAATTCGCTCGTAAGCCAACTCAGTTTAGTAAAATCAGTGACATTCGATGGGCAAATTCCGCTGTGATTCGCCAGGGCAAAAGTTGCAAATGAGGCACGATGCACAATAACTAATGGATCATCAATATTTGAGCAAGAATTTCTGCAATAAACCAATTCTCTTTCGACTGTCCAAAAAATGGTTGCCGGCGACCGTAACTGCACTTCAGATTACTTCGAATAACTTACAACATTCAGTCTGAAACAAGCAAACGTCTTCTGGATGGCCAAAAATGAAAGATTTCTTCAATAATATGGTCCCGCTATTACGTAGAGCATAAAAAACCATTGTTAGCATGAAGCTCATCAAACGGTCAACATGAATTGAGGTTCCAGTTCGCCTCGGAAATGTGCCAGCCATTAAATGTTCCTTATCAAAGCTGATATTAAGTTAAGAGGGCTCGGTGAGGCAAGCGAAAAGTATTTCTCTCTCTGACACTCCGATTATCGCACCCAATATTGTGCCGCTGAAAAAACCATCAAGAAGGCTGCTCTGTATATGCCAGTATCCGAGGGGTCATATCAAAGCTGTCCTGGTTGTCCGGAAGTGTGCAATCGTCTGATAGTTGTCAGTACCTAAGCTGGATATGCTAAAGTTCAGCCCTTCCACAACAACGTAAGACAATATTTCAGCGTATCCTATATTGGGCCTCTGCCCATCCTAAATGCCATGCAATATATTTTGGTTGCAAATTGCTTTAAGCTAAGATCTAGTGCAAACAAATCGGGAAGGTTTTATTTTGATCCTTTGTCTTCAGTTCCAATTCACGCTTACCAGCCACACACCCTGTGTATGTGTATTCGTAGAATGCATTAACTGTAATAAACGGCAGAGCATATTCGGGCACTTAAAGCAATCTCATGCGCACTTACACACACGCACAAACGTCTGCACTCACTCGACCACACCACAAAGTAGCATTTTAATCGTTCATAATATTAGGAGAAATAAACATAATTTATGCCAAAGCTACGCGGCGCCATCAACAACAAAGATAAAAGCGCACATTAGATGCCACTGTGCGAGCCGAATGTGTGCAGCAGTTGTGGGTAGCAACGCAATACCAGCGCGACTAGAAGATGCCACGGCCACTGCTTCAAATACTAATTGAAACCATGGCCATTCAAGGCGGCTGAGAGTGACAACACATTGAAAGGAGACGCAGAATGGAGGGGGGGTGAGCAACAGAAAGCGTTCGCACCAAAAAATATTAACGCCATTAACGCCTTATTTACGAAGGTATATCTTTAGCTGAGCTTATTTGTATGTGTGCGTGTGTGTGTGCACTACGGTGCTTTGAAGAGCACCCTCACCAAACGCACACAAAAATGTGCAACATTGAGCTAAGCCAAGGAGGGCGAGCAACAACAACCAACGTCTGCAGGGAGCCACGCTTTGGCGCATAAATTTTGCACTCATCTCGACGCCAATTGTACACTTAACCTATTAAAATGTCATGAATCAAGCGGATAAGCAGAAATAGAAATAAGTACCTACAGGCGAACGAGAGAATGAAACAAAAAAAAATGAGCAAAAAATAGAGTGGAAAAAATGTAAAAGGGAATTATACAAGTGGCGCCCGATTTGGGCTGCTGCAAATTCGGTAGGTGGTGTTGTGGCACACTTAAGCGCACGCGGAGCCGAGGCACTAGAATAATATGCGCACCCAGCTGACATGGCATGTTCATTGTCCGCCACAGACATGGCGCATAAATTACATACTTTTATCGTGTTGTTTCGGAGGTTATTTGAAGCGAGCATTGAGCGGTGGCGAGGCAGAGACGGATGGCGAGAAGAGTGAATTCTATTCACAAAACATTGTCATGGCGCAACCTATTGCTGCTCCGGCTGTCTGTTGCACAAGAAAATGTCGATGTGCTTGTGTGCACAAGTGGCGCGCGAAGACTCGTTGGCGCCTTCCGCTGCAGTCAACACTTATTCAAATGGCAACAACGTTTTGGCACCTATTCAACTCGCATATTTCCAAGAAATTTACTCACCTCCTCTTCTTTTGTTTTCAATGAGCTTCAGCGTTGATGTACTCAACAGAGAACGCCTGCTCGAAATGGAGGCTGCGAGCAGAAGTTAAAAAGCACTGCAGCCATTCATTTCACTTGAACAAATTTCATTTCTCAGCTACAATGAGTGCAACATTCCCGTTTTTCTTTTTCTTTTTATTCTTTTGATTTCTTTTCGTAAAAGCAGAGTATAAAAAGCAGCACAAAAATCGCGCAAAAGCTTTAGACAGTTGAGGACAGGGGTGGGAAGGCAGTCGGACAGCCTACAAGCGTAGCATATGAGCCAACAAAATAAGTGGTACTCATATGTGGCATGCAACATGAAAATACTGGAAATACTGAAAATATGAAAATGACAAATACCAATAACGGTTGGCAACAGTGGCCGCGTATGTGTCCGTGACGGCTCAACCACAGAAAGAGCACTACTCCAGTACAAACATACCACCATTGAATGAGGCGTGGCCGGAGAGCATAACTGTATCAGCAAATATGACTCGCACGAATTCCTGCGACCTGTGAAAAAATGCGAGAAGTAACAAAATCTGAGGAAAAAGTTTATAAAGGAGTAAGGAAGAGCTAAGCCAAATTTTCTGCTTATTTAGCAGACAGACAGATACAGTGATTTCCATACCTTTAAGAAGTGGTCCTCTAAAAGAGGGCGGTTATACCATGCACTATGGACCATTTCAGTTATTGCGGTATAGAATCCAGTCTACTTTCCTTGCAGTAGCCTTCTACAAATTGCTCTCATCAGTGTACCATAACCCGACTAATCAGTTTTATAATCCCCGTTTTTACTGTTAGAAACCATAATAGTAGAAACAAAACCCATCTTTGACGGAAGACCGGCCCTGTCCATTTTTACAAAATTAATTCTGGTTCTGAGGAGGAACAAAGTGGTTTTCAATAGGTTGTTCGAGAGCAATTAGAAGCTCCAAGAAGAATGTTCTTGAAAACCTTTTCTGTTTCCAGACAAATGCTCTTGAGGGTAACTTTTGACGTTACAACTTTTTTATTAGTTATTCTACTTTTCTACGGAATACACCGCTGTTAATATTAGTAATAAATCCGCTTGCTTTACGCATAAAAAGAAGGTTCATTTTATGTTCTTTCTGTAGCAAAATATAGTTTTTTCACCACCTGGCGCTTAAGAACTTTCTTCAGAGAGTTTCCCTCTGAACTTCCATAGATTACATTGCAGGGTATTTTCCAGGATTCCTTGTTTAACTGCCTTGTTGCTTTTTTTGGCTTCGCTAAAAAGTTTTCTGTTACTTTTCCTTTGTTCTGAGATTTCAACATTTCAGGGTGCGGCTTTTTTTCTCCTTGGGAATGCATAAATTACCCAAAGTCTCAAAATCATGTGATGATTTATGGAGCTCACTGGGACAAACGTGCCTTGAGAGCTCACCTCCTTTATTGTCTTTTCTACTCGATAGGGTGCTAGAGCTTGACTAGAATGAAAAAATACGATAAGAAAAATAATGAGGGAAAGAACGCTACTAAGAAATGTTTCATTTAATTAGAAAAAACACTCTGCACCTACCTGACTGATAGATATCAGCGGACATTCAACAGATCTTGTCTTGCACATTATTCGGAAGAGTCTGCACTATTTTTAGATATTTTCAAGTCCATTGCTTTTTCTAACTCAAGGACTGTAGTGTCTTCATTCTCCCCCAAAAGCTATTATCATGGCGGCTAAAGTCTGCGCCGACGTATTTAAACACAAAGAACGTTCCGTTTTCGGTGCCCAACTTAGTCTTAACTGCTGTGTCGTGTGGGTCTTTCCTAGAACGCAGTTTGAGTTTTTTTGGCATTTTCGACACGGTTGCACCAAAGCTGAACAAAGCCATTTCACCTTGCAAACAAAGCATAACATGGCTGAAAAAAATATGATAAAAAATAATGCAAAGAAGAAGCAAAAAACCTCGATCCAATATCCACAAGTCAAACTCAGTGCCAACGTGCTACACCTGCGGCATGCAACACATTGTTTGTTGACAATGCGGTATTGGCACTATAACTGAAACAAATACACACACATGCATATGTGCATACTATGTAGTGGTGTGCAGTTTGTGCAAACTTGCAATTGATTGCGAATTTTTTATGAATACTATTTTTTGTGCCGCGCTTTTTTGCTGTTTTTGTAACTTGGCCTATTCGAAAAGCGTACTTGTATCCGCTTTTATGAGCAGTTGCATATGCTCAGCGTACAAGCACACGCACAGTTGCATACATCCAGTGGCTCACTGCAATCACGGCGCGGAATTTATGTGCGTATAAAAGGTGTTAAAATATTTGGTGTGAAACATTTTTGGTCCAAGCGTGTATATATATATATGTATAACGGCAAAAACATAAAACCACACTATTGGCATAAGACAACGCCTTACATGTATGCACGTGTATGGGTATGTGTGATCCTATTTGCCTGGCCACGGCGTATGAGTGATATATTGTATTAAAAATCGCCGTTATGTGCCGCAACTTTGTATTATTTATTTCGATTCGTACATACATACATACATACATGCATACACACATTTAAATTTGCTTTTACCTGCGGCACAACAGCAACAACATTCACACTTTACGAATGGTGCCAGTGTATATGACCATGTATACATAAGCGCGTGTGTGTTGATGTGTGTGGATGTGTGTGTGGGGCTATGCAATTTGTATACTTTTCATTTATCGACAATTTTTTATGCAAAAGATCCGCTTCGCTGACATTGTATACAAATTTCATTGTTTGCCTACTTGCTACTGGGGTTACACGAAATGAGCGCCCGCTTATTTGTATTTATACGAGTATGTGTGTGTGTGTGTGTGTGTTCGTGTTTTATTAAGCATTTTTGAGCATTGCAATATTTTTCACACTTGAGAACACATAAACTCCGCCTCATGACCTGTGGCGCACACAAAAGTACATACGCATACATATAGACCGATGCCAGGCAGAGGCGAGGGGCACCCAAATCAAAAGCATAGAGTTGTTTGGCCAAGGGAAAACAAAAGCAAGCAAGTGACTGTAAGAGCGAGTGGGAAATGAGGAGTGAAAATGTTGTAATAAATAATAAAAATGAAATGTTTATAGCCAAGGCGTCGTACATCTTCTTACGTAATTTAATGCTGGGCAAGGGTTGGGACCGAAGTGCTATGAATGCTGAGATTTCAGAAATTTGCTTTGGTTATCGACTTCGCATAAATATTTTATTAAATTTGCATTTCTTCACTGGAGATTTATTGCCAAAGATGAATTGGCAGAATTTATTTAATTTTTTTTTCTTTGTATTTTGTTTCTACGGTTTATGAATAGATTGAAATATAAACAATTTCCTTCTTTTTTATAACCTAGGAATCACGGCAAATTTAGTTATAGTTATTTTCACAGGAGAATGAAAAAGGTGATGAAGGAACACGCTTCCTACAAGAGCTTCTAAGTGCTGCCACTTTGTTTCCAGTCGTTTCATAAGACATGGGTGGCAATAACGGTTTCGCCCGATGCATAACTTCGAGCCGTTGGTCGTCTATTTCTATACATAAGACTTGCCCCTTTACCACTAAAAAATTAAAAAAGCTATGAAGTAAAAAAATTTCAACGCCAACACAGTAAAGCAGACGGTTTTGGTGCACTTTCAGGCAAAAGCGAAAACTATTTTTGAAGACTGAAAAAATATATAATTTTATTGAACCACATGCCACATCTACAACAGCGTCTAGGCGTCAGAGTCAATTTCCATCAGGCAGATCTCACGCAAACTGAATTAATCATTTTTATTAAGAAATCATATAAAACCATCAACGTAGTCTGGTGATTAAGGCAAAATAGGCAATAATTTCAAATTGTACTATGCCAGAAAATTCCTTTAGAAGCAAGAAGATCAAGAGATCGAGCAGTTGAAGAGGTTGCCAAAAATGTCTTGCCTAACGGCATGCAAGACTTCAGGAAAGTTTAAGTCCTCACGACATTTCTTGAGTGCCGACTAGGCGATAGTGCCCGTAAATAAAAAGAGCGTAAGGAGAAAGCCTTGCATTTGTCCTTGTACCGCCTCCTCTGTTTCTGTTTGGCCCTTTCTAGAAATCGTTTTAGGCATCTGCAAGCTTCCCCATTCAAAAGGAAAAAAACAAGGTGAGGGAAGTTTCAGAATCGGATATCAAGACTACTTCGCGCAAAAATTTTGGCCTCCTACACGACGACTACCATACTTCGCCATGAATTATATTGAACCTCCGAGCGACATAGCCGACATAACAGCGAGCCAATTTATCCCAACTAACTTTACTTTAAGGCCACTAATTTGAAAAGCGAAGTACAGATCTCACTCAAACTATTTACACTCACGCATCTCGACCTCAACCTTCTTTCGTATGCAAATGATTAATGCTTCCCCCTACAACCCCCTGTATCTATTCCAGGCCGCGCGTGTGTTGGTCGGTTGAAAAGTTGCGTAGTAGCCAGTCTGTTTTCGCTCCAGTACAGCTAGACATTTTTGATTGTACCAATTCTTTCTTCACTGGCGAAAGCCAACTTTTTCAACACAAAGGATTTGGTCGGCTGACTGATGTGACTCCGGCTATTTAACGTGGAATCTTTTATATGTTGGCTGATGAACGTCATTTGATACCGAGATGTGACTTCGTATTTTTGCTGCGACAAAATGATGATCCATCGATATCAGCCGAACGTTTTTCAACTTGATGTTTAGTCATAGGAATGCACCTAGATCTAGAACAGAGAGATACCTTTTTCCGTCAATCAAAACATAATAGTATTGAATGCCGACCTTCGATCAGACGACAACCATGTAGCTTTATGGATGTTTTTTGTGTAGAAATCCAGTACTATGGACATCTGTTAAGCCTCTACTTCTTTGATGTAGTTTCGTCAAGGAGGCTGAATTGCCCGAGTATGGTACGGAATTCAAATTGGCATTCAAATTTCCAAGCACAATATTCCCATCGTGGCGAGGACAGCGCACATAGGCTCATTCCAGGTCCTCACGGAAGGCATTCTTATTCACTTGGTCCTTCTTTTCCGTCGTCGTGAGGGCACAAATCAGCGATATGTTGGAAAATTTTTCCTTAATGCGGCTTATGGCTAGACGTTCAGCGGAATAAATGCCAGGGCCCGGCGAAAGAGTCTCTTCTCCATCACAAATTCAACACCAAATGAACGCTCCTTCATCAGAAACCAACAAAAGGCCTCAATCCTCATTACCTTTATATTATCTTTGTATTCAATTTTTAAGCATTGCGAAAAGGCAACGGTTTTGGCATATAGAGCAAGAGCTCACCATAGTTTTCCAAAAGCTCAGTCACTAATTTATTCCAAACTGCTGACACCACAGAGCAGGCAATGCAATTACTCTAATCGAGTGGAGACTTGCTTAATTCCGATTGACTTGTATATTTTTTCAGACTCACAAAAATACACCATGAAAAGAAGAAGATATCAGCAGTAGCTTGGTTGGCTTATTTCAAAAACAAAAAGTCTGGTGCACCTTCATTATATTTTAGATAAACAAAAATGACTTAGAGCTTACACAATAGCTTACTCTTTTTTCTTCTTTCACCCTACGATTTTCATTTTCTTCAAGCTCAGCTCTGGTACTAGTTCAGCTGTATGATTCATGTTTCTACCACCGGTCTGCTTCTCATAATAACTCGCAGATCTTTCTTCTTGCCTTCCAAATGCCTTCAAAAACCAGCCACATTTAAGTAAATCAAGGTGGCAAGGCTGCAACACATAATGAACACCACAAAAGATTTAAATCTAATATTGAAATAAGACCAGCAAACGTGGCTACCGAGAAACCGCAGAAACTATTTAACTATAAATTCCCCCTTACCAAAAAGGGTAAGAAAGTACGGGTATGCGTGCATGTATGTGTGAGTGTGCGTATGTAAAGAAAAGTAAGAAATCATTTGCAATATAGATATTCTTAATAAGCACAGATTGACGATATGCGGTACAACGGTTGGCTGCCACATTGGCTATAGCAATATAAAACACATGCAATTATACTTAGGTATGTGTGTGTGCAAGTGCTGTACCTTCTGGGATAAACTCAAACGTACCTCAGCTGTGTGCAGTGCATTTGTGCGCCCTGTTCTATGCAACAAAATATTTTATGCCTCAACAATGTGTGTGTGGTAGCATAAATAGTAGCTGGTGTATAGTAGAAATAGTGTTTGTGGCATGTGGCAGGCAATGTGAAATATTCAAATAACCAACACCACGACCACCTAGAGACCACACAATGCAAGATGGCAGCTGATGCTCAAGACTGTATACCTAACTAGCTAGTTTTATGCATATATCCTTACACTAACTTCGTTTGCATATATGTGTGTTTGTATGCTTGTCATAGCGCCTTCACCTTAATGTTCTTTATAGCCCTTTGCACAGTCAATTCTGCTAGCCTTCAATGGACCGCACAATATCTGCTGCGGTGCAAATTATAAAGGAGATGTTATGCACCTACATACGTAAATGGGTATGTAAATGAAGATGCCGCTGCTGAATCCAAACTGAGATAAACGTAACTAAGCAGGCTTCTTGAGTCTATTAGGAAATTTTTCTTTACTAAAACAATGCCTCTCTTTTGGATTTATAGGGATGTATTTAAAGGTAAAAGAAAATCTTTTCTAAACCCATTTACATACATATATCAGTTATTAATTGTCTTTTTAATTTTGTTTAATTTTTTTGCTTTCGTAAAATTAAAAAAAAAAATATTTTAATAATATGAAGACAAATTGAAAATTACACTTACATCGAGGACCCTAATGCCGACGCACTAACTGCAACCATCTCTTGTCCTTCGCCCTTCTCAATTTCTTTTGTTTTGTTGTTCTTATTCATTTCTTCTGTTGCTATTTCCGCTACAAAGCAAACAGCTTTGCCACGCGCTTTCAATTATTTCTGCTTCTTCTTCTTATTCATCTTCCAGCTTACTTCTCCTTTAGCAATTTCCCCAGTGCTTTGGTGCAGTTGAATTTTCTGCTGCTGCTGCTGCTTCTCTTTCTTCTTCTTCTTCTATATTACAAATGCTCTTTGTATGTGTTCATTTGCTGGAAAAGTTATTGATTGCAAGAGCTTTACATTGCTCTTCATATGAACACATGCACACATACCAGCATACATACGTGTGCATACCAACACATATGTTTATGTATGTACGAGTATATCGCTCAGAAGATATGATTTTGCTTTATTGAAGGCAGCATCTGTTTGTGTCTGAAATCTTACCATATTTACCACATATACATATATACACACATACAGATGTGAGAAACTGTATGAAAGTGAATTTATGTGTGCGTTCATTGTAGGCCATTCAATTTCGAATATTAACAACCGCTACAATCGTAATATTAATTCACTTATGTATATATATATAATATATATGTATGTTTGTGTGTGCGTATGTATGTGTGTGTGTGTGTGTGTGTGTGTGTGTGTCAGTGTCAGTATCTTGGCACATCTGCTTTGCTTTTATGCAATCCAAAACTACTTTCACCCACTCTCTGCTGCCTGTGTTCCATTTTCTTCTTCTTCTTCTTCTAGCCATTGTTTTGCCTATCAGTTCACCACATTTATGTGCCATAGACTCGTTCAGGGTTACTCGTATATTTATCCATATTGTTATGAGTCTGCAGTAAAAATTAGCACTGCCACATAAAAGTGTAAGTGCTATGCCACTCATAAGTATTCAGTATTCAAGTAAAGTGTAGTTACTCCGCTTCTTATGCATCCCAATGGATGGCACATTGAGTTCAGGGAGGGTTGGAGTTTAAGGCAGCTTAATAGGTCAAAGTTATGGAGACTTAGTTCTACTAGCAGTAAAGTGGAATTCAGTATTGAGATTTTTATTATATATCTTATAAAGAGTATGGCTTCTAGCAAGAAATAGATATCCTCTAATGAGCTAAAAAGGAAAAAATCGGTAGAATAAATTTTGGGTTAGGTTAGACTTCAATCTGTGAATAAATTCACTGGTCAAACCATCAAGTGAAATTAGTAAAACAGAGCGATCGATATATCGGTTTCTTTACACCCGCAAGTTTACTCAGATCTCTAAAGGTTGCCATGCAGGGAGACTTCTTCCCCTTCTCTGCAAATATTGCAGATGTCATTCGATGGAAGGCCCAGTTTCCATTACACATAAACTCGCGACTTCTTGTATATCATTTCCACCATATTACCCAAGTCACATTTTAAAAATTGATAATTTTCCACCGTGACTTAGCATCTACTTTGAACAGCTCTCTGATAGAACGTACAAATTAAGAGCGGTATGTCCAGACTCTGGCTTGGGAGCGAAAATGGAACATTCCGTTGCCTGTTTTTTTTACTGTCTCCTGTCACCTTATTAATTCAGAAAGAGCTGCAAAACAGAAAATTTAGTTATATTTTATTATACTTCTTGGACTGCAAGTACAACAAATCAACTCTCAAGTGTTGCCCCATGGAAAACGAGACTTGACAGAACCAATATTTTTATTATGCCTCCATGCATCTTTTTGATCATTTAGTCAAACTATCATAAGACTTTTGTGAAATTCTGCGTCTATTGTCTTCTTAATATCAACTGAGGATACGTTGCGAGCGGTCGTCGGTTCTGAGCACGCGGCTGGGTATATAAATGTGTAAGAAATAACTTAAACCTTAAACCTAGCGTGGCTGTGCGCTATATTTTGAACCACGTAGAAACCAGCTTCAATGACAAGTATGACAGTTCCTCGGATGAGGTAACCCATGCAGCTACACATAAAACACTTTTAAAGCTGTAGTGCTTTCATCCATTCAGACGACATGACCTAGCCAAGGTAACATGGGAATAATGTGCGACTTGTCTAATTTAGTTTTTTTTCTACGTAAGGTTTCCAGTTGCTTACGCAGTTCGAAGTAATACCTATTGGCAAGATTGATTCTGCGATGGACTAAGAGACTAAAAATGCATCAGCCGTGCAGAGGCGGCTTAAAATGAACCGTAAACCTCTCTGTTTTTTGTAAAAACTTTAGGACGTCTACGCAGAGTTGGTGAAGGGCCTCAGACTTAGCGGTTATACGCCCATTATGGATTTTATATACTTAATCTAGACGAAACACCGATTGGGCTGAGTTTTTCGTGCTTTAAAATTGATGAAGTCAAGTCAATTATTTTCTCACGGCTCTCTTTCAAATCATATAGCCTATGTTGGATCGACTAGGGAAAGCTCTTCTATGATAAGCTCATTGACAAAAGTCTTTAGTCTTATAACAAGTGAAGACTAATGATTTTCAATCAATTTAAAAAAAAATCGTGGTTATAAGCCTTATTTTAAATAATTTTATTTTTAACTTTTTTTTTTGTTTTTGGCTCATATTATTATTTAAATCTTATTCTTTATTTATTTATTTTCTTGTTTTTTATTTTGAAGTAATTAACCGGATTGGTTCTCAGTGCAATAGCATATCTAATGTAAATACTTCTTTACAGTCTTCCATATACATATATGAATACATACATTCAAATAAATAACTTCAAAATTAAAATAAAAAAAATATCAGCACAATATTTCTGGTAAATTTTTCATAAAATATTAGCAGCGTTCCACACTAGCAAAGGCATTTCTTCCTTTTCTCAATTTATCCCCAAAGTCACCATAGCAGCAACCACAAAATTTCCCATTAAATTGCCACATACTTTAATACGCAACAAATAGCGATAAATTACAGTTAACTGACGGTTCTTATCTATTCGAATCGCTGTCGAATTGCAGCGTTGAGGCAATTTCACCTGCCATTACATGCCACCATCACTACCCCTCCCCCTGCTTACGTTCAAGCAATAACCAATATAATGAGCGGCAGACAGTCAACGAGTCGGTGAGCCAGCCGGCCGATCCATCCACTCACTTATGCATTTAAACATGGTCTGGCCATAGCCGAAAGCACTACTGTGCCACTGGGCCGTACCGGGCTTGTGCTGCGTCCATTTCGCTTACCTAATGAAATCATCTCAAGTTTAATTTAATTTTATCGCTCCCTCAAGTGTAGGCTCAATAAGAAGTGGAAGCAGCAACGTGAATGTTTCTTTGTGCGTGTGTGTGTGCGCGCATGTATATGTGTGTGTGTGTGTAGGAACGTGTGGCAAGTTGTCGTGCTGCTCGTGTTATCTCAACTAACTGTCTACTTGCCTATCTGGCTACCTAGCTACACGCACCTATATATGTTATATATGTATATATATATATATACTGACTCACACGCACGCACGCACACAAATGTGCCACTTGATGAATGTCAGCAATAATGTCAACGTAATCACAATTGTGCGCCTAAAACTATACAACGACATTATAATAAATCAACCGCGTAATAAAATACAATGCAAGAGACAATACAAAAACAACAACAACAATTACAAGTGTGTAACAAGAACAAAACAGCACATAATAGGGATATAAACGGCGAAAAATGAAGAAAAAAAATTGTTTTTAATTTATGACACAACAATAAGAAAATGCATAGAGAAAAGTAGCATGAAAGCTGCTGTGGGCAATGAAAGAGAGACGTGAAAGACACCTTAGAATGTGTGGGCTTAAAAGACATATTCAATTTTAATGCCCCAAAATTTAAATTGGGAAACAATAATTCAATGCATCTGCGCGACAAATCGTATTAATAAAAAATGATATAAAGAAAAATTTTATTTCAAGCTAGAAAATCCGGTCACACAGTGCTGTGGTTTTCACAATTTGGTTCAACTTATATTATAACATTATATTATTTTATTACTACTAAAAGAGATGCATGCAAAGTCTCGTATGAAAATTTGAATTAGAAAGCCTCGAAGGCAGCCGAAAATACCTGCTTCATCTAGGCTTACTTTCAAAAACCCTAAACGTACAAGAATAGCCTGTAATCGCTGTGTGTTCAATAGCATGGTCAAAGCCAAAACAATCGCCAAAATATGCTTTCATCACAATAATTTTCTTCCACAAAAAATCGTAAATATTCCAGTACGGCATTTTTGGGCACACTTTTTGGAAGAATAAGTGATATTTACCTTAGTTCATGACGTACATGCCTACCATGTCCTTTTACATCGAACCATAAGTACAAATATTTTAATAGATAGATCAACCCCTCCACCGCTTCCCAGTCATGCTCATGATAATCTATACAAAAACTCCTAAATGCCAAACTTCAAGTAAATTGATTTATGGGATGTACCTATGACCAATCCGAGATCCACTTCCCGGAAGACAAAATAATTCATATGATAATTTATACAGAAAACTGGCTATGTATCACATTTAAACTAAATCTAACCACAAATAAGATTTTTTTGTAGTAGATTGATCCTAGTCCATTTTCAGGGTAAAGAGAGGCAGCTCTTTCGAAAATATCCAAACTTATCAATAATGCTCTCAGGTCTCAATGAATCTGTCAATAAAATGAGTATAAGCGTTAGTAGTAGTCTAAACCATTTTGACCAATTCTAGCTGCCTGGAGTTTCTGACCATGAGCTAATTATAATATTTTTCAACTTTGAATTAAGCAGAATCAAGCCATCAATACATTTAACTTTTAAGAATTTCATGAATATGGAAAGTGCTTCGCTATCTGCTGAAGGCATGACCCTAAACTCGATTTACTGCTGGCTACTTTCAGATGTTAACGACAAGTTACAGTTCTTTACCACGCTAATTAATTATCTGTTTGAAAAATATGTTCCCCTTCGTAGAATTAAAGCTATAAACCAGACCAAGCCTTAGAACACTAAAGTTAACTAGCCCTTATAAAAGACCAAGGCTTATTGGAAGCGTAATCCTACTAATGAACGCTGGACCACATACGGGAACATGAGGAATAAATTAACAACTGAATTGTGAAAAAGTAAAACAAATTATGCTAAAACTGATTTG